AAAGGGATTTGAGGAGGAAGCACATTTAAAAATGTGTGGTCAATCCACCATATTTAACAAGAAGATTTTGGTGACAATTTTTTTGTTTAGCTAGGAGCAGAACCATTATCTTTGGAGAAAACTTTTCTTTTTCTTGGTAGGTGATACTTTAATGCGCCTTTATTATGCAAAATATAGCACAGATTATATTCTGAAATGGAAACTTTGTGGGAAAAAAAGCAAAATTTTTCTGCATAATCTATAAATTGTGTCTTAATTGTAGGTAAAGAATCAGTAGTGGTTAGTACTTTATTGGCTGGGGATGTAGAAATTTTTCCCCTTCTTATAAAGCAAGAGAGGAATTAAGGGTAGGATATGACCAAGGACATTCTCTGCATGGAGGGTTATGTAATTCCTTCAACATGTCAATAGTTTGGGTCCATTGATAAGGGGAGAGATGGCCCATGGGGGACCTCTATGGAGAAGAGAATAGTCATAGCTAATATTCCTGTTTACATTTTCCTTCTCTGCATTGTAATTTTCTTTCCATTATCCCCAAAGTTTCAGAAGTTTTGCAAACATCACAGCCTATCAAATGCTTTTTTTTTTTTTTTTTTTTTTTCCCGGTACGCGGGCCTCTCACTGTTGTGGTCTCTCCCGTTGCGGAGCACAGGCTCCGGACGCGCAGGCTCAGCGGCCATGGCTCACGGGCCCAGCCGCTCCACGGCATGTGGGATCTTCCCGGACCGGGGCATGAACTCGCGTCCCCTGCATCGGCAGGCGGACTCTCAACCACTGCGCCACCAGGGAAGCCCTATCAAGTGCTTTTGTTGGGGTTTCAGGGAAGGGGCTTGTGTCCAAGTCTAGATTATGTTAGGGAAGGAGAAAGTGGCCTTTTCTTACAACCACCACTTACATTTTGAAATCTGCCTGGTAGTAACAGCAGCATTTCAAGACCACCATGGTCCCAGAACTCTAGGAGTTGGCCAGGAACAGAGCAAAGCAACTAGATTTTTTAGGTAATAATATAGGTTTTCCAACTGGATAATTACAGCAGCCTTGTGATGATCTGTTTTGAGCCCCAGAGGAGCTATGAAAGGGATCCCTAATTCCACAGGACTCTCTACCGAAGTCTCAGTTCCAACCTAGTTTACTCATCCATTACACATACTTACCAGCGTTGCCTAGTTATCCATGAACTTTCCTAACTTTGATATAAAACTTTAATCCTCTTTCATAATATGTTCTAGGAAGGTTTCTTGTAGATAATAATAAATAAGCAAAAAAGAAGAATTTAAAAGTGGGAGTGGATCGTAGGGACCATTAGATCCAATAGCTTTTTTCGCAGATGAGAAGACTGAGCTTCAGAGAGGAGCAATGACTTGCTCAGGGGCATATAATGAGCCATGACAGAGCTTGGACATTAATGCAGTTCTCTCAGTCTTCAGTAAAACGCTTTTATTCCCTTGACCATACCATTCATATTGACATGACGTGGAGTAATTAATTCAGGACCTGTTTATTGAGCATCTATTAATTTAAACTTTTACTAGTTACATAGACAATAGGAATAGGTAGGGTGACTCACTAGTGAAATTGGTTTAGTCTCCCTAATTTTAAAATGCTTTTCCATAGTAATTTCTCAGACTTATGCTACATGAGAATGTTTTATATCGTTTCAGGACTCAATATGAGATGATATCTAAACCAACATTATAGGAAATTTATATATTTAGGAGTTTCATAACCTCTACCTGAGGAAGCTCCATTAGTTGCCTGAAATGAAGACTAGTCTTGTTAACCTCTTTCCTTGATATTTAAAATATGTTCCATCCTAAATATTTTGATAAAAGTCACATTTTTAAGTTTAAAATGTGATCACAGTATTCAGAGCACAGGATTTTATAAGTCCCATAAAAGGTGTCTCCCCCTTCATTGGGAGTCAAGGTTGGAAAATATAACTGTCAGAAATGTTTGCTGGTAGAATACACTAAAGGATATACGATCAGTTGTCTAGTTCATGATGGGGCTGAGAACAGACATGCTCACTGCTGCAGGCAGGAGCGGACTGGAGTTGGGGAGACCTGGAATTCAACCTTCCTCTTGGGACTGGGTCAGGTATCAGGTAAGGGGCAGACACAATATAGAGTCCAGAGGGTTTGGATGACAACTGTGTTATAACTGATGTATTAATTGAGAAGCTTCTCTGAATATGGTCTTCCAAAAGGAGAAGGGAAAAATTTGTCGGTGCTCATTCTCGGGTCAGAGAAGAAAAGTTTATCTAATTACTTTACTTTGAAAAAAAAAAAAGTCCAGTGCTCTTTATTCATGTTCTTTGTTCATCAAAATTCCTTTTGTTGATTTGCTCTGGGGCAATTTTGTCCACCATGAGGAAGTCCTCTATGCAAATTCCTAAACAGATTATCTTACCAAGCAATTCTCTTTTCCTAAATTAATAAGTTCACTTTTCTGTCTTATATATCCCTTGAGAAACTGTTAAGTATGAGTCCATTCTCCAGAAAATAATCACTTAGGGTAAATGTGTAAAATCCAACTTCTAGACAAGCTAATTTAAGATGTAAGCCTAATGAGCTCACTGTTCTGCTCAGTGAAGCCCCTTTGAGAAGCTGAGCCCTGTATGCTAAGTGTAATAAATCAGACTGAGAAAGACAAATACTGTATGATATCACTTATACGTAGAATCTAAAAAATACAACAAACTAGTGATATAACAAAAAAGAAGCAGACTCACAGATGTAGAGAACAAACTAGTGGTTACCAGCGGGGAGAGGGAAGAGGGTGGGGCAATATTGGGTAGGGGGGTAAGAGGTACAAACTATTAGGTATAAAATAAGCTATAAGGATATACTGTACAACATGGGGACTATGGTACATATTTTATAATTGTAACTGGTGTATAACCTTTAAAAATTGTGAATCACTATATTGTACACCTATAACATATAATATTGTACAGCAACTATACTTCAATTTTTAAAAAAGAAAGAAAGAAAGAAAGAAAGAAAAAGCAGCCATGCCTTACAGTATGCATCCCAACCGTTCTGTTTCTGGTCCATCTCCTCAAACACTGGATCTCACCTGCCCCTCTTGTCTCGTTGTTTTCTCATACTTCTGTCAGCCACTGAGCTGAGGTCTCATTCTCATTTCATAGCTTTGGTACAATTGTGCAAGGTCACAAATCTGACCTTTCCTGATACTCTGACAATGCATCCATGGACTACAGTACTAACATTCCTCCCAAAAAGTTCAGGTTCTGACACGCCTTCACAGAACATTGACCCTAGATTCTGTCCTTATCTTCTGATTAGCTTTTCCCAGGTTTCTCCTGAGGCCATGGTGCTGCTCGAATCCTTGACAGATAGCATTGATCATCTTTAACGGTAAAGAGCACAGATTCTGAGCCAGTCTGCCTTTGAATCCTAGCTCTACCTGTTGCTCATTGTAACTTGACTTTGGGCAAGTTACTTAAACCTCTGTGCCTTGGTTTCCTCATTTGTGAAATGGGGATAGTAACAGTACCCACTGATGGGGCTGTTGGCGCTGAATGAGTTAGTATATTTACCACATCTGGTACATAAGGGTGCCACGTGTGATAGCTGCTGTTACTGGGACATACAGTTATAGGTCACTCCTCTGAGGAAGTGAGCTCAGGGTTTACTAAATGCTTGAATGGGAAGGAGGCAAAAAGGATACAAGGAGGAAAAAAATAGGTCTGTATTTCAAAATACTGCATTTTACCAGAGGCAATTATCAAATCAGCCAAATAATCCCATATCTTTGCTTTTGAAATTTAACAGCAGCAGCTTGAATTCATTATTGTGAATGTGTAATTTCCACTTATCCCATGTGTGTAAACCGCTTCAACCTAGTTGACTTTTTCTTTCCAGTACATCATCAGGATTACCTTTTCCTTAATAAACTTGAAAACTTCTGAGTGAATGACGAGAAAATGCTTAATGGGAAGGCCAAACACCAGCAATACTTTAGTCCAGAAAACAACAACAGACAGAAAAACAACTTTTTACTGGAATCTGAGTTAATAAATAGGGATCACAGAACAAACAGCAAACAACAGCGTAAGTTACATCAGAATGAAAGAAGAAATGATGAACCTGGGTTTCCAGTCTGAAACTATTGTGCAATATGATTAATGGAGCTAACATCTTACACATTAGAAAATCCTCTACAGTTTAAAACAAAAGGAACAGCTCGATCAGAGGATAATTGATGCTTACAGATAAATTTCACAATTTTGCAGCTCAGGGAATAATTTTGCTTTTCTTAAAGATCAAAGAAATTGACTGTTTCATCTTGACAATTATTAACTTACCACATTTTTAGAACTAAGAAAAATTTGGCTTCTCTCCATATTGTAGTTGAAATGAAATTTTAATCCGTATCTTTTTTTTTTTTTTTTTTTTTTTTTTTTTTGGTGGTAGGCTGGCCTCTCTCACTGTTGTGGCCTCTCCCGTTGCGGAGCACAGGCTCTGGACGTGCAGGCTCAGCGGCCACGGCTCACGGGCCTAGCCGCTCCGCGGCATGTGGGATCTTCCCGGACCGGGGCACGAACCCGTGTACCCTACATCAGCAGGCAGACTCTCAACCACTGCGCCACCAGGGAAGCCCTAATCTGTATCTTTATAGGTAAAATTTTATTATTGTTAGTACCAGAAAGCAAAGCTTCAACCAAACTTTGGTTTTACTTAATCTTCAAGTGAACATTACTGAAGTTAGTCAAAATTCAAAAATTCACTGGATGAGCACAATAGTAAGAGGTTAAAAAATCAGAGATATGTTTTTATAAAGATATATTATTGGATTTTTAGTAAAAATTCATGCAAATAGGAGAAAAAAAAATATCACAGTACTGGGATTTGTCCTTGAACTCCCTCTTTTAGTTTTCCTTCCAGTTAAACTGATTTCCTCATCTATTTGTTTCTGGACTAAAGCCAGAATCAACATTGTCCTTATTTCTAATCAAATAACAGAGAAGCAATTACAAAGTCTGAATGCAGTTGGAGGAGTCTGGGAGACAGAGTGGCTGGACCTCGCCTAAGCCGTTTCTCTGACTCATTTGTGACTTCAGGCAAGGTATTTAACCTCTCTGCACATTGAACATAATTGTGGTAATGCTAGTTGATTTCCTAGGTATGATATTAAGCATAACTCGAGAAACAACTGTTGGCCCTTGAGAAAGGTCAGGTTGATTAGAGAGACGGCTGCTTCTGCCACTTGGAAAAGAGATTTAGAATTACATCTCCTTTCCATTCCTAGTACATTTTGAATGAATTGGATGAGAATTTGATGTAAATAAAAAGATTTGCAGTTTTAATATACAAAATGGAAAATAAAATGGATGATGTTATAATTTCCTCTTCAGAAGTAAAAACTGCAGAAATGTTCTTTATTTCTTTCTTTTGGGAATCAAACTTATTTGGCTTTTTAAAGCTTTCATTGAGTATAAATTATTGAGATAAGTGACAAAGATACTGTTATATTCCATTACCAGAAAAAGGGAAAAAATTAGAAGAAAATAACCCAAAAGGAGTCTCTAAGTCTGTTTATGGGTAATTTTAACTGTCTTCCATTAATCCATTAATATGAGACACATTAATATGTCTTACACATTGCCATTTGTGAATGCTAACTTATTAAATATGCTTCCTTTAGTAACTTTTTCTTCTTTTTAATTTCTTTTATCTGTATCCTTTCATAATAGCTCACTTAAAACATACCATTTTTGAATTACCATTACATGCTAGTAATGAACTTGTGTTTGGTAATTGTGTTTTTAAAAGTTAACATGTCAGCTGTAGAACATTTTAGTCCCAAACTTAAAATTTTTGTGTTTAAATTTAATTTACTATAATCAATTAAAACTCAAAGATTTTATTGGGAAAAAAATGGACTTACACTTAGAACAATTTATATCAAATGATATAGTACATCAAAGAATAGTCATTTGAAAACTGTTTTAATTTTATAATAATTAAAAATTTGAGATAGACCAAAGCAAAAACATTGTAAAATAAATACAACTAGTTGTATAGTGAGGAGCGAAGTAATCTGATATAACTTCACCACAATCCAGGTTTGCAGACTAATGATGGTTTACTATGATGAATGATGGAGATCAGAATTTCAAAGCAAGTTTCTTATACCTAAACATTTCTTCAATATTATAGAAGATGGCTGGAATTACTAATGGAGGCACTGGGGAATTTTAAAAGACTTAAGACATTCTCAGGAATTATTTTAAAGATGATCGAGTTAATATAATGACTTCTTTTAAATATATATAATAACATTTTGAAATGCTTTATTGTTTAAGGATCTGCCAGACTAGGGGCTGCCTCCTTTCTCTGGGAAAGATCAGATTTGATTATTTTAATGGCAATGAATTGGAAATTCAATGGCAAGAGAAACCTGCCAAAGCTTTTTCACTGCCCCTTTATTTTCTTTCTTTTTTTAAAAACTATATTTATTTATCTATTTATTTATTTTTGGCTGCGTTGGGTCTTCATTGCTGCGCGTGGGCTTTTCTCTAGTTGTGGTGAATGGGGGCTATTCTTCGTTGTGGTGTACAGCCTTCTCATTGCGGTGGCTTCTCTCGTTGCAGAGCATGGGCTCTAGGCACACGGCCTTCAGTAGTTGTGGCATGCGGGCTCAGTAGTTGTGGCATGCGGGCTTAGTTGCTCCGCGGCATGTGGGATCTTCCAGGACCAGGGCTCAAACCCGTGTCTGCTGCATTGGCAGGCAGATTCTTAACCATTGCACCACCAGGGAAGTTCCTGCCCCTTTATTTTCTACCAAATATAATGCATTACAATCTGTATATAATATAATTTCCCAGCATCTCCCAGAGCACTAATTTTGTTTTTGTTTTTTTGGCTGCGTTGGGTCTTCATTGCTGCGCAGGCTTTCTCTAGTTGCGGGAGCAGGGGCTGCTCTTCATTGTGGTGCGCGGACTTCTCATTGCGGTGGCTTCTCTTGTTGCGGAGCACAGGCTCTAGGCACGCAGGCTTCAGTAGTTGTGGCAGGTGGGCTCAGTAGTTGTGGCTCGCGGTCTCTAGATCACAGGCTCAGTAGTTGTGGCACATGGGCTTTGTTGCTCCACGGCATGTGGGATCTTCCCAGACCAGTGCTCAAACCCGTGTCCCCTACATTGGCAGGCAGATTCTTAACCACTGCTCCAGCAGGGAAGCCCTCCCAGAGCACTTTTAACACACACTTTCACTTATGCAAGAGCCAGATTCAGATATAGATATAAGAACATAATTTTTTATTGAAGTGTAATTTGCAATGTTGTGTTAGTTGCAAGTGTATAGCAAAGTGATTCAGTTATATATATAGATATATATAAAACAAGGACCTACCTATACAGTAGGTCCTTTTTGTTTATCTATTTTATATATAATAGTGTGTATATGTTAATCCCAAGCTCCTAATTTGTCCCCACCCCTCTCCCCTTTGGTAACCATAAGTTTGTTTTCTATGTCTGTGGGTCTGTTTCTGTTTTGTAAATAAGTTCATTTTATTATTTTTTTTTTAATTCCACAAATAAGTGTCAGTTGCTTCATTTGCAAATATTTTCTCCCATTCTGAGGGTTGTCTTTTTGTCTTGTTTATGGTTTCCTTTGCTTAAAAGCAAAAGCTTTTAAGTTTAATTAGGTCCCATTTGTTTAATTTTGTTTTTATTTTCATTACTCTAGGAGGGTCTATTTTATTTCTTTAGGCAGATGATATGCCCTCTCTGAGCCTTGCTTCCTTAGATGTTGGCAGTGTTCAACTGGATGATCTCACTTCCTTTAATTATATTTTGATTGTGTGTTCTAACCTCATGGGATAATGCTTTCTACTTCAAAAATCTCTTTTATGTGTTTTAAAAAAAACAACTATTTTCTGTCTTTATTTTCTTTTGCTTGCTTATAATAAAACAATTATCTTGCTTCTTATTTTCTGTAACATTAAAAAACTTTATATGTTTATGACTGTGTAGTTGATTACATGTTAAGAAACCTCCGTTATGTGGAGGGTTGTTTTGTTTTGTTTTGTTTTACTTTTTGCTACTTGAACTTCATGGTAAATTTTAAAATTAAATAATAAATGACCTTAAGGATACAAATGAGATTTTCTTTTAAATAGGAGCATACCTGTTGTAATTTGCTCAAGAAATATATTTATTACCAACTGAAAAATGAGTCAAACTAATCATTTATTATGAGATAGCTATGATAATGGCTTTAGCCCATTAAGAGCCAAATTTTAAATGTTTTAGGTATTAAGTTTTCAGTTATTTTTTTTTCCTTTGGGGATTTTATAAATCCAAATATCTCTTTTAAAAGTAACTCTTTTTAAGCTATCACACACTGCAATGTCATATTTGCAAATCAATAAAAACCTTATGAAAGACATAATTTGTTAAGTGTTTCTAGTTGTTACTGGGAGTGGGGAGATGATGGAGGGAATCTGACAGGGACATCTAATAAATTCAGCAGACAAACTGAATTCGGTCTCTAGTAAACAACTATAAAATTGCAATAACAGATACTGGGAAGTTCTAAAATTGTAACTTAGGTTCACAATTTTTCTTCTCATCCACTCAACAGCTATTTTGTTGGGTACCTGTACTGGGTTAAATTGTCTTCTAAAGTGATATGTTCAATTCTAAATCCCGTTACTTGTGAGTGTAACCTTATTTGGAAATAGGGTCTTTGGAGATGTAATCAAATTACAATAAGTCATATCGGAACCTTAATCCAATGACTGGGGTCCTTGTATTAAGAGAGAAATTTGGACACAGAGACATACAAAGGGAAGACAGCCATGTGAAGATGGAGGCAGAGAGTAGAGTTATGTTGACACAGGCTAAGGAATGCCAAAGATTGCTGGCAACCACCAGAAGCTAGAAGAGGCAGGGAAGGATTGATTCTTCCTTAGAGCTTCTTGAAGGGTGCATAGGCATGCTGACTTGACTTCATATTTCTATCCTCCAGAATGTGAGACAATAAACTTCTGTTATTTTAAGCCACCCAGTATGTGGTAATATGTTGTTATTTTAAAATAATTTTAGATAATGACAGTTAAAAACACTTAAAATCATGTCAGGGAATCACTATCTGAAAATCCTCTACATATGTAAATTAAATCACAGAGTTTTAAAATTTGATATTTAAAAATGTGTATCAAAGTGTACATAGTTAAAGAAAGTCAAATAATACGGAGAGGCTAATAATGAAAATCAGCTGTCCCTGGGCTCATTCCTTCTACTCCATCCCCCTTCTCTGGAATCTAACACTTTTTTTGTTGTTGGGGTTTTTTTCTGTTTTTCTGAAGTGTAGTTGATTTACAATATTGTGTTAGTTTCAAGTTAATATTTCATTGTGCGTATATATGTCATTCTGTTCATATAGTCATCTGTCAATACATATTGGGTTGTTTCTACCTTTTGGCTATTGCGAATAATGCTGCTGTAAACATTGGTGTACAACTATCTGTTCAAGTCCCTGCTTTCTGTTATATCTGCGTTTTCACAGTATGGAGGTTTGTTCATTTTTCTTTCTAAAAGTAGCCTTTTTAAATCACAATTTTACATAGTATTGAAAAACATGTTAACTGAGAGAATTAGCGATAGTATTAAAGTCAAAGGGTACTTGCCTTTTCTATTTTGATAAAGGATAGATAATTCAGAAGCTGGTCAGTATAGCAGAAAACATTGAAGATATTTATGATTCAAGTAGAAAAGTACTACATATAGTTCATAAACAAGACAAATAGCTTTTTGTTCTTTATGATCTTTAGAGAGCACTAGTTACCATCTCAGCTCTTCTTAGGAAAAAGATCAGTGATAAGTTTACAGTGAAATACTACTCAAAATCACTGATATTTAGTACAGACAACAGTAGATAACTTGACAACATATACATATTTTTTCCAATGGGATTTATGGAATACAGACATTGAAACTAATTGGATTCTTTCTTTTTTGTTTTTCCTCATTTTTTTTTTCTATCTTTCGTTCTGATGGAGGAAAGGAGGCACATTTTTCAGAGATTTGTTGTATTTTATTAGGCCTTAATTGCATAT